TAGAATAGAGAACCCAGAAATCGACCCAAACCACTATGCTCAATTAATATTTGACAAAGGAGGCAAGAACATACAATGGAGTCAAGACAGTCTCTTCAATAAATGGTGTTGGGAAAATTGGACAGATACATGCAAAAAAGTGAAACTAGACCACCAACTTATACCATACAGAAAAATAAACTCAAAATGGATAAAGCACTTAAACATAAGACGGGAAACCATAAAAATCTTAGAGGAATCCACAGGCAGCAAAATCTCAGACATATGCCAAAGCAATATCTTCACCGATACAGCATAATAACATTTTATTTCAATTGAGGTTCTGATTCCAAATGACCTTGTAGGTTGGACTCCATGGAGCCCTCCATTTGCCCAGGTTAACTCTAGTCTGAATCTCAAACTTCACTGCTCCAGAGTGATGAAGTCATTTTCACTTGAGCAAACAAAACTAGAACAGGAGAAAGTGTTTGCCCCATTGCTTTTAGAGAATATTTCCTTTTCTCTCCCAAGGCTTTCTCAGGCAAGTTTCTCTAAGTCATGGCCCCACATATGAAAGAAGAGAGGGGAGAAGAGAGAGATGAGATTCTCTGTTCCCGCTTTTCTTCCCTACTTGGAGGAAAGAAACAGGAGAAAGGCCATATCCTTGTAAACTTGATCTTTAACTAGACATAATAATGCCACCCATTTAAACAGTGTCCAATAAAGTGTTCTTACAATTGAACAACATTATCAGTACTCATCTTCCTAGCAGAGGAAGGAGCCTTAATATTTTGGGCAGTGGGAAGGAGGGATATTTGAAGATAGGAGACTATGAGCCCCTACCTGGACATCAACAGATGGGTAAGATGAATTAGAGAGGATCATGAATACCAAACATAAGAGGGTCAACTTTTTGTTGTTGTTTGAATCCTCACCTGAGTACATGCTTAGAGAGAGAGAAACATCGATGTGAGAGAGAAACATTGATCAGTCGCCTTTTATATACACCCTGACCGGGGATTGAACCCACAACCCAGGTATGTGCTGTGACCAGGAATTGAACTGGCAGCCTTTTGGTGGATTGAGGATGCTCCAACCAATTGAACCACTCTGGCTGGGCAGAGGTTCAACATTAAAAAAAAAAATTCTCACTTCATGTTGAATGTTAAATTTTCTTTTCATTTTAGGAATTGGAGAATGACACAGCTTTTCAGCAAGCTGTGAGAACCAATCATGGCAGAAGACCTCCAGTAAGTAAATTACTTTTATTGTGATAAAAAACACATAACAAAATTTACCATCTTAACCATTTTTAAGTGTACAGTTCAGTTATTGTTAAATATATTTATTCTCATTGTTATGAAACTGATCTTCAGAACCTTTTCATCTTCCCAAACTGAAACTCTGTTCCCATTAAACAACTTCCCCATTCCCTTTCCCCCTGTCCCTGGCACCACCCATCTACTTTCTGTTTCTATAAAGTTGACTACTTTTTGATACCTCATATATGTGGAATCATACAGTATTTGTCTTTTTGTTACTGGCTTATTTCACTTAGTATAATATTCTCAAGGTTCACCCATGTGAAAGGATTTCCTTGCTTTTTAAGACTGAATAATAGTCCATTGTATGGATAGACCACATTTTGTTCTGTGGACACTTGGGTTGCTTCCACTTCTTAGCTATTGTGAATACTAGGTGTACCGGTTACTAATGCAGATTTTGTAATCAAAGAAAACATGATAATTTCAAGAGAAACATCAAAAGTGCTTTATTCAAAGTAATGTCCATAGCTAGCTACACATTTCCCCCATCTTTCAGGTAATTTGTGGATACCGTCCCAGTAGAACTTTTCTTGTTTTGAGGCAAACCATTCAGAGACCCAATTTTCCACTTCTTCGTGTGTTTTGAAGTGCTGCTCAGAAAGTGTGTGTGCCATCGATTGGAACAAGTGGTAATCTGAAGTAGCAAGGTCTGGTGATTACAGCGGGTGGGTTAATACTTACTTCCCAGGCAAGATCTTTTATCGTGTCTTTAACTGGTTTTGAAGTGTGTGATTGTGCGTTATCATGAAGCACTCACAAGTATCTGAGATAGAGCATGTTCACCATAAGCTTCCTGAAGTATACAATAACTTTTTCTTCAAAATAAAGTAATGACTTAAAACTTCCCGCAAATGCTCTTTTTTGCCATGAAATTCGACATTTTTAAATGTAAAAATATCTATGATGTTAACATCTTCAGCAAATTTGACATATGAAGTTTTGAAGCTTGCTGTCAACACAACAAAATAGCATACATATCAAATCACATAAATATCAACATATGTGTAACTCCATCTATTGAAAAAAAATTCGCATTACTAACTGGTACATCTAGTATGCTGCTGTGAACATGGCTGTGCACATATTTCAAGACTCTGTTTTCAATCCTTTAGATAAATACCCAGAGGTGGAATTGCTGGAACATATGATAGTTCTATTTTTAATGTTTTTAGGAACTTCCTCACCCTTTTCCATAGTGACTGCTCCATTTTACAATCCCAGTAACAGTGTACAAGCATTCTAATTTCTCTACATCCTTGCCAACACATATTATTTTCCATTTTTCTGAGAGTAGCAATTTTAATAGGTCTGAGGTGATTCTCATTGTGGTTTTGATTTGCATTTCTCTGATGATTAGTGATGATGAGTATCTTTTCATATGCTTGTTGGCCATTTGTATATCATCTTTGAAAAAATGTCTAGTCAATGTCTTTGCTCATTTTTAAGTAGGTTATTTGATTTTTTGTTATTGTGTCCTAAGAGTTCTTTATATATTCTGGATATCAACCCCTAATCAGATTAATGATTTGAAAATATATTATCCACTCTGTAGGCCTTTTCAGTGCGTTGATTATGTCCTTTGATGCACAAAATTTGTTGTATTATATATTTCTATTTGTCTATTTTTGCTTTTGTTGCCTGTGCTTTTGTTGTCATATCCAAGAAATCATTGCTAAGTCCAATGTCATTAAACTTTTCCCCTATGTTTTCTTCTAGGAGTTTTATAGTTTTAGGTCTTATGTTTAGGCCTTTTATCCATTTTGAATTAACTTTTGTATATGGTTTAAGATAAAGGTCTAACTTTATTCTTTTGCATGTGGATATCCAGTTTTCCCACTGTTGGAAAGACTGACATTTCCTCATTGTGTGGTCTTGGCACCCTTGTTGAAGATTATTTGACCATATACACAAGGGTTTTTTTCTGGGCCATTTATTCTGATTCATTGGTCTATTCTGTTTTTACACCAGTACCTCACTATTTTTGTTACCATAGCTTTGTAATCTGTTTTGAAATCAGGAAGAATGAGTTTCCTAATTTTGTTCTTCTTTTTTAAAATTCTTTTGGCTATTCAGGATCCCTTGAGATTTCAAATAAATTTTTTTATTTCTTTAAAAAATGGCATCGGGATTTTGGTAGGGATTGGATTGAATTTATAGATTGCTTTTGGTGCTATAGACATCTTAACAATAGTAAATTTTTGAATCCATGAACATGAGATGTTTTGCATTTATTTGTCTTATCTTTAATTTCTTTTAGCAATGTTTTGTAATTATATTTTAGATAAAAAATTTTTTATGCTTTTGAGAATATAAATTTTATTTATATAAGATTTGGAATATGTTTACCTAAATCACTCATTGTTTAAAAATATTTGTAATTTTTAAAGTTACATAAATATTGATCCTTCAAAACATTGGGGCTTAATTTACAAATTACTCTTCTCTTGGATTAATGATCCTCCATTAATTAATATTCCATCAGCATATGAATTGCTAGAGTGATATTTTTCAGTATTATTAAAATTTTTGTGTATGTCATGCAAAGCATAGACATCTAACTTGCACAGTGTATGGAATCTGCCAACTCTCTTTTGTAGTTGAAAACAAACAGGCTGATAAGTGAAATATAGAAAGTTCTGTAAGAAAGAGTATAAATTGTTATGGGACCATAAAGAAAGGTTATTTGTCACTGGGACAATCAGAAGAGGCTGCTTAGGATAAATCTACAGTTGAATATTAAAGGGTATGTACAGTTAAGACTGACCTTAAGATATGGGAGGAAAGGTATGACACATGAGGGTGGAGGTGAATAAAGGAAGAGACAGGGTAGGCTCTACTTTATCTGAAGAGATCTGACCAATGCTTAAAAAACAAAACAAAACCCAAAAAAAACAGATTTAGTCATTTGTAAGTAGTTGAAAAAAAACACAACTTTCTTTCCTTCAGTTTGTTCTCATAGAAAAAAGTCCTGAGACTCTATCCTTTTCAGCTTTTTCTAAGACCTGTTATGTAAATTAGGTCAAGTTTTTAATGTGTGTGTGTGTGTTTTTTTGTTTGTTTGTTTGTCTGTTTTTTAGTGTCTTATATTTTTACTGATTTGGGGGGAAAGGGTTTTGTTAATGAGAAAGATATGGTCAAATTTTACATTATGATTATGGATTTTTTTTTAGTTTTTTGCTTTATATATGTGGAGTATAAATATTTAGAAATGTTATATTTTCATGGTAAATTGAGCCTTTTATTGCTATGAAATGTCTTTCTATCTCTAGTAATTCTGTTTGTCTACTTTGTCAGTTATTAGTATAGTGATATCGCTATATCACCTTCCTTTTGTCTAGTGTTTTCATGATATGTCTTTCCTAGTCTTTAACTTCCAACCTTTCCATATGCATTTATTTATTAGCAGCATGTGATTGAGTTTTGCTTTTAAAATACAGTCTGATAACCATATTTTTTTTTGGTGAAGTATTTAGTCCATTTGCATGTAATGAAATTACTGGCTTGGCTTCAATTTGTTGTGTTACTATTTGCTTTTCAATTTTTCTGCCTTTTTTCTGTTTCATTTTCTTTCTTGTCTTCTTTGGTTTGTTTTTTATTTCCATTTTCCCCCATTGTTATCTTGGGAGTTTACATCTATAAAAATTCTTTTAGTGTTTTCCTAAAGATTATAATACTCATCTTTAACTTATTAAAGTCTGGTATAAATTAGTATTTTACTGTTTCCTGGACAATGCTAGAATTTTATATTATTTTCAATTATTTTTCAGTTCTAGAATTTCTATTCTTTTTTTATACTTTCCCATTCTCTGCTGAAATTATCAATCTTGTGTTTTAGCTCAGTGGACATATTAAGCATATTTATGTTAAAATTTGTGTCTGATATTTTCATTATATGTATCACCTTCTGGGTTTCTTTTCATTCTTTTGTTTTTCTTGGCTTTTGGTTAGGTAGTCTTGCCTTGTTTATGTCTAGTTATTTTTGATTGAATGCCAGACAGTGTAAATGAAAAATTTGAGAGTTAATTTAAGGCTATATGTCTGTGCTGTCCAGTATGATAAACACTGGCCACATGTGGCGAGTTACATTTAAATTATTTAAAATTAAATACAATTTAAAAATTCAGATCCTTGTTACGCCAGCCACTTTTCAAATGCTCGGCAGCAACATGTGGCTAGTAGCTATCTCATCAGACAGGGCAGGCATGGAATGTTTCCATCAGTGCAGAAAAGTTCTACTGGATAACACAGCCAAAAGTGATCTCATCTTTCAGTAGAGAGAATTTACTCTTGCTTATGGCCTTAGAGATACTAGAAATCCTGGATCACCCTTATCCATTTGAGTTTGAGATCATCCTAAATTGGACTTTAGTCCTTACAAGGGCTGGTATACTTCTAACTTACTTTTCAGTCTTAGCCTTTTGAGATGACAATCTAAAGCTGGGAGAATTACAAGGACAGCTACCTTGGCAGGCCCCCAACTCCAATGTTTATCTCCTCAGGCCTGTGAGTCTACAAAAAGCTATGCACAGCTTCTCAGCCATGTCTTTGGAACAAGCAGATGCCTATAGGACAGCGGTACTCAACCTGTGGGTCGCGACCCCTTTGGGGGTAGAAGGACCCTTTCACAGGAGTCGCCTAAGACCATCCTGCATATCAGATATTTACATTACGATTCATAACAGTAGCAATATTACAGTTATGAAGTAGCAACAAAAATAATTTTATGGTTGGGTCACAACATGAGGAACTGTATTTAAAGGGCCAGAAGGTTGAGAACCACTCCTATAGGAGAAAAGCAGAACCTAATGCTGGCTCACCTCTCCAGCCTTCCCCTTTCCTCAACTGGAGACTTGCAATTCTTCACTGCCTTAATGGTTCTCTAATGTATTTAAACTGATATTTTACAAAAATATTTTTGTACTCAGCTTTTTAATTCTTAGTGGCAATGTTATTTAAAACAGTAGCCCATCATAGCAAGAAGTAGAACTTATCTATTGATGATTTTTTAAAAAAATATATTTTATTGATTTTTTACAGAGAGGAAGGGAGAGGGATAGAGAGTTAGAAACATTGATGAGAGAGAAACATCGATCAGCTGCCTCCTGCAGGCCCCCTACTGGGGATGTGCCCGCAACCAAGGTATGCCCTTGACAGGAACTGAACCTGGGACCCTTTGGTCTGCAGGCTGATGCTCTATCCACTGAGCCAAACCGGTTAGGGCTCTATTGATGTTTTAATCAAATATTGCAAACAGCCCTAGCTGGTTTGGCTCAGTGGATAGAGCATCAGCCTGCAGACCAAAGGGTCCCAGGTTCAGTTCCTGTCAAGGGCACGTACTTTGGTTGCAGGCTCCTCTCCCACCCAGTCCCTGGTCAGGGTTCATGCAGGAGGCCACCAATCAATGTGTTTCTCTCACATAAATGTTTCTTTCTCTGTCTTTCCCTCTCTCTTCCACTCTCCCTAAAAATCAATGGAAAAAATATCCTCAGGCGAAGATTAACAAAAAAACAACAAATGCTTTAATCAATATGCCTAACAACTGACATGTTTAGGTCAGTTTCACCTACATGGTCCTGTTTGATTCCAACTATAGTATTGTGATCAACATACATACCTTGCATCCTTATTTCAAAGATGAGAAATTTTAGATTCAAAGAGATTAAATAAACTCAGCTAGTAGAGGGAAGAGCTGAGATTCGAACCCAGATTCTCTGACTCCAAATCCTGTCTATAGTTAGACCTAGTGGCTGGCAGTAATAAGAATTCATGATGAATGATGGAAGCAACCATGAAAACTAATAATTCCTATTGGCACTTCAGGTCATTCTCAAGTTCCCTTTCTCCTGTAAAATGAATTCCAGAATAAGTCTCCTACTCAATATCTAAAATTCCTAAGCTCCTTAATATGTAGGATAATTTAAAAGGTAATTATTCTAAATATTATATTAACATTTCTCTATTGATAAATCTATATTTTGCACTTCTTTTCCACTTTTCTATTATGTAGCTTAATCTGAATTCTATTAACTATGTTTCTTTCCCCTCTCCCCAAGATAACTGCTAAAATACCAAGCACAGCAGTTACTAGACCTGTAGCTACTGGATATGGGGTAGGTTTTCTTAAGCTGAAAATATTAAGATGCTTTTTCGTGTACATAAATTCATTTTAGGCAGTTCTAAGCAATTTTGGCTATTTTTCAGTCCATGAACCAGATATAGTTTCTATTTTGAATAGTTACAAACATTATAAAAATCTCATTTAACAGCTTTAAATATTCTAGTCCTTTTGATTGTAAATATATCAGAAAACATTTTATTACCTTTTCTATTTGTAAACCTTGTGTTTGTTGATCCACTTCCTTTCATTTTTTTATATAATATGACCAAGTCTCATGTGTATTCCATTCATACATTTTATTTGAAGTTATATAATAAATATAATGTTTGTAATTTTTAAAAACTTACTAATTAATGCATTAAAAAGTAAAATTTAAGAAAATTTTCAAAGGCATATATTTGGGCCTTGCTCTTATTTGAGATTTTTGGAGGAAGGATGCTATATAAAAAAATCCATAAAGGAAAATCTTTTATATATTGCCCAAATTTGGATGTTTTAGCTTACATGAAATAATAGAGGAATGAGAGAATGAGGTGGGATATCATTTCCCAGTCCTTATGATAATATTTCTTAGAGGTCAGAAAAATGATTTCAGAACCAAGGTCCAGGGCAGTTGCCTTCATACTGTCCCTTTATATGAATGAAAAAAGTAGCCTTATCTATAAAACCCTAATATGCAAATAGACCAAACAGCAGAACAACCGAACAACCGGTTGCTATGACATGCGCTGACCACCAGGGGGTACACACAGAATATGGCGGGCGTCAGCAGCAGGTGGCAGAGTGCAGAACATGGTGGGCATCGGCCGCAGTGGGATGGTGGAGCAGGTGAGCAGGGATGCCAGACCAAGGTGGGATGCCGGTCGCTGTCATTGGTGCGAGCCTCTGGTGGTTAATGAAAATTCTTTGCTCCTGCACACCACGGTCCCGCCCGGCGCTCACACCTGCTGCTGGCACTGGCCCCACTCGCCCCTTAGGGCTTCTCCACTCCCCCTGCTCCTGAGGGGCGATTGGGACTGGCAGCCGCCTCTCACACCTGCTGCTGGCAACAGCCCCGCTCGCACCCACAGCTGGCGCCGGAGCTGTTGCTCGCACCCGCTGCTGGCGCCCAGCACCAGTCCTGATCGCTTGGCGCCATCAGCGGGTTCGAGCAGCAGCTGCTGGCCCCAATCGCCCCTGAGGGCTTCTCCACCTCCCCCTGCTCCTGAGGGGTGATTGGGGCAGCAGCCACCACTCGCACCCGCTGCTGGCACCAGCCCCAATCACCAGCAGACAATGGACCAGAGGCTGCAATGGGAGGGGCCAGGTGGGGGCACGAAGGATGGGCCGAGACCTGCCCCTGTGCCCACAGCAGCCTCGTGGCCCACAGTTCCCTTTCAAGGTGCACGAATTCGTGCACTGGGCCCCTAGTATATAATATAACTGTGTGTCTTATGAAGCATGGTTTTATTAATCAGCCTATACATGTATTACCCATAAACTTGGTTTTTGGTGATGTTTTAGAACAGGAGACGGCAAACATATTCTGTGAATGGCCAGGCAGTTTAGGCTTTCCAGGTCAGACAGTCTGTTGCAAGTACCGAGTCTGCATTCCTAGTGCAGGAACATCCACAGATAGGTGTGGCTGTTTTCCAATGAAACTTTATTTACAAAGGCTGAGGGTTGTTGTTTGCTGATGCCTGCTTTAGAGTTTTACTGTTTGACCCTATGTCCTCAGATGATACATGGAAAAAATTATATTTAAGTTCATTTGCCAATAGAATGAAAGAAAAGTTATGAAAAACTTGTATAATTTCATTTATAAAATTAAGTGTAGATTTTTAAAAATTGTTTTAACTTAGTTTTCTGTTTACTAGTCCAAGACATCCCTGACATCATCAATGGGAAGACCAGTGACAGGGGCTATCCAGGTATCTCCGTCGTGTGGTTGTTCATTTGGGGCTTCTCTTGTGACTTAGAATATTACCAACGTTTTCTTTTCTTTATTATATTATTTAAAATGTTAAAGGAGATATTACTGATATAATTACCCTGATTCTTTAAAGTGTGGGCTACAGATTGGACTGTTTGAAATCTTTGGAGGCAGAGTCTCTGGACTTACTGAGGTCTCAGATGAAATTCTACTGGGGAGTAGACATGAACTGATGGTTAGATTGTATGGTGTACCCTGGGACCCATTTTTCCTGTGCTGTCATTTACAACCATATCTTTGGTTTCTCTCATGGGCATAGAGGATACCAACCAAAAGTAGGGGAATAGCCAGCTAATAGGCTATATAAGATGCTTTATAAAAATCTATGAGGTGTTTTTTTTTTCTTTTCAAATGGAGTAAGCCCTAGGAATTATAAATTTATAGAGGAGCCCTAGCCGGTTTGGCTCAGTGGATAGAGCATCAGCCCGAGGACTGAAAGGTACCAGGTTCGAGTCTAGTCAAGGGCACATACCTTGATTCTGGTTGCAGGCTTGGTCCCTGCCTAGCACGTGAGGGAGGCAACCAATCGATGTGAACATCGATGTTTCTCTCTCTCTGTCTCTCCCCTCCCTTCCACTCTCCCTAAAAATCAATAGAAAAATATCCTTGGATGAGGATTAACGCCCCCTCCCCCCCAGGAAAGAAAAAGATAAGAAAAAGAAAAACATTTATAGGGGAAAATGAAAGTAGAGACAGAGTTGACACAGAGGAGCAGAAGTACAGAATTAAAAATTGCAGTTAGCCCTTGTGGCATGGCTCAGTGGTTATAGCATCAGCCTGTGAACCGATGGGTCTCAAGTTCGATTTCAGTCAAGGGCATATCCCTGGGTTGCAGGTTCCCTGCCCCAGGGATGCAGGGCGAGTGCAGGAGACAACCAATTGATGTAGGTCCCTCACATCGATATTTTTCTCTCTCTCCTCTCTCCCCCTTCCTTCTCCCTTCTGCTCTCTCTAAAATCAATGGAAAAAATATCCTCCAGTGAGGATTCACAAAAATAAAAATTGCAGTTATGTGTCATTTGCAGAACTGTAAGTACTTTTAAATTATTCCTATTCTTTTAAGGATGGAGTTACTAGACCTATGACAGCAGTGAGAGCAGCTGGTTTTACCAAAGCAGCTTTGAGAGGTTTGTGTCTATTAACTTTTTTTCAGATCTTTTAATATTTTTTACTGTTTTTGTATGTGTAAATATTGTTACCATTTTAAATCTAACATTCCATTGATTATAAGGTGCGTCATTATTTTAAGTACCATAAGAAAGGAAAGAGTTGATGAAAATACTCTGCATCACAATTGGGGTGGTAGTTGCACTGGCATGTAATTTGTCAAATTGTACATTAAAATTTTGTTTTATTTTTTATAAATTAGAGCTCATTTTTAAAAATTAAAAGTAAAAATGGTATTTAAATATATGATAAATGATTTTAAAATAAAATTATTAGGATAAAAATTAATGTTTATTATATAAATAAGGACAATTAAAAAGCCAATGCCAAGTTATTATTCACATGATTGATAATTTAGAGTTCATAATGGGAATAGATTATTGTGGGAGATGAGTAAATACTGAGAGAGCATCTCATTTTTGTTTTTTTATGTTAACACACAAGTTTACATAGTTTGATGTATGTTAAAAATCTCACCAATTTCTTTATATACAAATGTTTATGTAGATATAACGAATGTCCTGCCTATTTAATAAATAGGTAATCTGAGTCTTTTAATAAATAATTAAATAACATGTGCAAGATTTCATATTTTCTTCAATTATGCTGGGTCGCAGATTAAATATGAACTCTTGAATTGTGTGTCAGGTTCTGCATTTGACCCCCTTGGTCAGTCAAGGGGCCCTGCTCCTCCTTTGGAAACCAAGAACGAAGATAGGTACGTAAGTCCTTATGCTGTTGTTTTATTGTTGCACCTTTAAAATTTTTCCAAGTAAGTATTTTAAAAGTTTGTGTCACCAAAATAGTAATTACAATATCATCCCTAGTTCTTGGAATTAGGAAAAGAATCAAACCTAATAAAAATAGCCATGTGTATCCTGTTTAGTTTTATTATATTACTAGAGGCCTGGTGCACAGATTTGTGCACCGGTGAGATCCCTTGGCGTAGCCTGCAGGGATCGGGCTGAAACCAGCAGTCCAACACTGCCTGCCGCTCCTGCTTGCTGCTCCTACTCATCCCGGCCCCACTGCACCTGCTGCCGCCGCTGCTCAGTAGGCTCGCTGCCACTCTGCTGTGGTCTCTGGGCTGCAGCGGCCACTGTGAGCCCTGTGTCTGGTGCCCGTCGGTCAGCGGAGTGGCACTCCAGATGTGGGAGTGCAATGACCATCAGGGAGTAGCTCCTGTATTGAGTGTCTGTCCCCTGGTGGTCAGTGTGTGTCATAGCGACCAGTCATTCGGTCATTCCGGGACCCAGGACTTCGCTCTGGCCAGAGCCGCCTTCAAAGCCTTCGCTGCTCCAGCCGGACCCGCTTTGATCGCTGCTCCGGCCAGACCCGCTTTGATCGCTGCTCTGGCCGGAGCTGCCTTCAAAGCCTTCGCTGCTCCAGCCGGACCCGCTTTGATCGCTGCTCCGGCCAGACCCGCTTTGATCGCTGCTCTGGCCGGAGCTGCCTTCAAAGCCTTCGCTGCTCCAGCCGGACCCGCTTTGATCGCTGCTCCGGCCAGACCCGCTTTGATCGCTGCTCTGGCCGGAGCTGCCTTCAAAGCCTTCGCTGCTCCAGCCGGACCCGCTTTGATCGCTGCTCCGGCCAGACCCGCTTTGATCGCTGCTCTGGCCGGAGCTGCCTTCAAAGCCTTCGCTGCTCCAGCCGGACCCGCTTTGATCGCTGCTCCGGCCAGACCCGCTTTGATCGCTGCTCTGGCCGGAGCCGCCTTCAAAGCCTTCGCTGCTCCAGCCGGACCCGCTTTGATCGCTGCTCCGGCCAGACCCGCTTTGATCGCTGCTCTGGCCGGAGCTGCCTTCAAAGCCTTCGCTGCTCCAGCCAGACCCACTTTGATCACTGCTCCGGCCAGACCCGCTTTGATTGCTGCTCCGGCCGGACCCGCTTTGATCGCGGCTCCTGGTGGAGCCACCTTCAATGCCTTCGCTGCTCCAGCCGGACCCGCTTTGATCGATGCTCCGGCCAGACCCACTTTGATCGCTGCTCCGGCCGGACCCGCTTTGATCGCGGCTCCTGGTGGAGCCGCCTTCAAAGCCTTCACTGCTCCAGCCGGACCTGCTTTGATCGCTGCTCCGGCCGGACACGCTTTGATCGCTGCTCCGGCAGATCCGCCTTCAGTCTTCGCTCTGCTGCTTCCCGCTACATATGCAAATTAACCGCCATCTTTGTTCTCGGTTAACCGCCATCTTTGTTGGCAGTTAATTTGCATATCTCGCTGATTAGCCAATGGGAAGCGTAGCAGAGGTACGGTTAATTACCATGTTTGTCTATTATTAGATTAGACTAGAGGCCCGGTGCATGGGATTTGTGCACTGGTGGGGCATGGCCTGCGGGGATTGGCCCACTGTGAGAGTGCCGCTCATCCCGGTCAGCCAAGTGGCTGTGGACCTGCCCTCTGAGTGGCTGCTCCTGCTGTTGGAGCGCCCCTCATCCCAGTCAGCCAAGTGGTGCTCCCACTGTGGGAGCACACTGACCACTAGGGGGCAGCTCCTGCATTGAGCGTCTGCCCCCTGGTGGTCAGTGCGTGTCAGAGCAACTGGCCGACCAGTTGTTCTGGTTGTTCCACTGTTTGGTCAATGGGCTTTTATTATATAGGACTAGAAGCCCAGCGTGCGAAATCGCGCGGCCCCGCCCACCCATGCCAATCTTTGGTTGTTACGGCATTAGGGCCACAGGCCTTTAATAATATAGATATAGATTTGACTTGAAGATATATCTAATTTTTATGGAGCCCAATATTGATTCTCTTGAAGGTCAGATGGGGTTGTAAATGTAATAAGATATGCTTATTTTAAAATAATATTTCAAAGAAAAGAATTAAGAGAACATACAAGAAGTTAGTTTGTCATATCAGTATTGAGAAATTTCATTTTTATTGAATTAACTTACTTTTGTGCTAATAGTTAGAAAGTAGCCAAAAACTATGGTATAAATTCAGCTGTATATACGTACTGGTATCTAGATACATTGATGTCTACATTTTACAAATAGTTTTACAATCAAACACTTACTGAGTACTCAGTGTGTGCCAGGCATTTTGCAGTGCAATACATAAATGAAGACTGAGCTATTATTATCATTTATAGAGAATATAAACCACAGAGATCTTGACTTGGTAGCACTAATAAATGGCAGGACTGAGATTGAATCCAGACTATTTTCAGAGCTCATACTATTAACCACTATACTGTTTTATTTCTATATAGTAGATGTTATTAAACTGTAATTCTTAAATCCAATATTTGAGCTATTGTTTAAATTACATCATTTCCATTTTCAACTAACAAGGAACCTCTACAGAAAACCAGTTTAGCCCTAAGACAGTTTTGCTCAGTGGTTAGAGGACTGAAGGGTCTCAGGTTTGATTCTGGTCAAGGGCACATACCTGGGTTGCAGGCTCGATCTCTGGCCCTAAGTCAGGGCCCATGCAGGAGGCAACCAATCCATGTGTCTTTCTCACATCAGTGTTGCTCTATCTCTGTCTCTCCCCCTTCCTAAAAATCAATGGAAAAAAATACCCTCGGGTAACGATTAACAAACAAACAAACAAATAAACAAACAAACAAACAAACAAATAAATAAATAAATGAAAACCAGTTTATTTTGTATTCTAGTTAATGACAGCATGTCTGCTAATAAAAGTTTTTAAAAAAATATATCATTCTGGAATCCTTTTAGCTGCTAACAACAGAAGACATCAGAAACACATATACACTAAGAACATTTATTATGTTATTAACAGGAAATCTGGTGGAAGGGCAGTTCTAGAGATGGTTAATTTAACTTCTCAGTCCTGGTTCAGCTTTCCTCTGATTATCTTGGCTTTTCTCAAGAGCCTGCCCATCCGTATGATGCCAAGAGTGCCATTAGAGAGTTCAAAACTTTCAGAATGAGAATATTGATAAAGCCTAGCTGGAGTCAGAAAGTTCCAGTCTCAGGCCCCTTTTAAAAAGCAAAGAAAATCTTTCCAAGGCCCTGTACCCCAAGAAGATTGTTTTCACTTTTCATTGCAGAAAAGCATCACTTGCCCATGACTGATCCAAAAATTTGGCAACAGAATGAGATTTGACAAGTGTAGATCCTGTGTGCAAGGAAGGGTGGGAGCAGGCTCTTGTGTAGGCAGGTTTCCAGCACTGTCTGCATATAGCACTGTGTGCATACAGAGTAAAATTTTTTTGGCATTTGATAGGGATATAGAGTATCTTCATAGAGTTCTTTTACAGATTTTTGCTTTAAAATTTTACATTGATATTTCAGGTTTAATAACAAACTGTTGTCAACCAAAAAATAGATTTCTATACTTCATTATAACCTTTACCAAATCACCGTCTGTTATGCTCATTGCTCAGTTAGAATTTTGCAGATCTTTGTAAACTCATAAAATTGGTATCCCACCTGATGAAATTTATAGGCAGGTTCCACTGAAGAACATGATTCTATAGACATTCTATGCTGTTAAATTTATTCCTGTATTCTTTTTTTAAAATCCCATAAATACAATGTATTCCAATATACTCATAGTAAAATTTTATCTAGGCACTGTTGTGTATTCGGAGTGTTGTGGTATTTTGCTGGAAGAAAGTAAGAGCAAAAAGAAATTAATGTCATGTTTTGAAAGGTAACTGATTTGAGGTACTGTGTTTGCTACTAATCGAGTCAGGGTTTTTAAACTTCTCACCTTGTTAGAAAGCTTCTCTTCAGTACCTATCTGGTAGTTAATAATAATTATTATATTATCTCTTTTATGGGGAGCTTCAGTTTTCCTAACCACTAGGTAAAGTTTCCATTTGCCAAACATCTGAAAAAAGGATCTGCTTTCTCTTGGGGATAATAATACAATAGCGTGGCTCCTAGATTTACCTTACTGGGTTTAAATCCTGGCACTCTAACTTTCTAGCTGTGTGATCGCGAGCATAGCACTTAACTTTCTAAACCTCAGTTTCCCTATTGGTAAAAAGAATAATGATAATACTTGTATGTGATTATGATTATTAAATGCCATGATTAGGGTAAAGCATGTAGCTCAATGTGAAATTACACTATGCTAAGTAAATGTTAGCCATTTTTATAGTTATTCTGAATAGTTATATAATGTAATTCTTAAAAACAGCAGTACATTTGCTCCTTAATGCCATTTATACGTTTCTCTTATCTATGACCTATTCTTCACATTTAAAAGCACGTTAAAAGTAAATTACATTTTAGTATATATCATTAGAGGTTGAATGATTACCTGCTTTCTTCTTTAATAGTCCAGAAGAAAAGATTAGACAGTTAGAGAAGAAAGTAAATGAGTTGGTCGAAGAAAGTTGTATTGCCAACAGTTGTGGAGACTTAAAACTGGTAAGTTTATAAACTAACAGGATTCAGGATTATGAAGTGTATATATGTATATATCTGGTTTTATATGTGCACACTTACAAAGTGTGTATATATGTGCACACATACAAGCATATGTATAGATAAATATTTTTGTTTTGCTGTTGACTGGCCTTAGAGTTTTCACTGAAGCAATTATTTGTTTTTTGGGAATCCTACTCTGCTTCTTTTAAAATTATCAAATATTTTCTTTTAATTTGCTTTTGTTCACATTACTTTGATTGTTATACTATATAAATATAATTTCTGTGACTTTAGTTATTGGGTTAATGACTACCATTAGGAAAAATTGTTCAATATGAAAAGCTACTTTTGTTGCTCATAGTACTGGTGCCTTTTTAATCTAGTTCTAAAAAGCAAAAATCTCCTGTTGAATTAATCTGTTTGTAGTTCGTCTCAGTGGAATAGAAGGTTCCTGACATTCTAAGTAGAGAGCCAAACTTAGCATCTGCCATAACATTGAGTAGCAGTTATCCTGTGACTTGTCTAGATTTGGGGCATCCCAGAAACCAAACAAATCCATCTAAATTCCTATCTCACGAGATTGAATTAAAATATCCAAAGATTCAGGAGTTGGGAGGAAAAAAGGAAATCAAAGACATAGTCAAACCTAAAAGTGGTGGAAGGCATGGTGATGAAGAGACTGGACTTGGGGCAAAGCTACTGTATGTTTTGTCCCTCAGACTCCCTCTTCTTTTCCAGAATAAACACAAATTTTTATGATAGTGAGCTCCAGTTTAAACAAATGGTCTGGGTTCTTTTGTTGTCAAGGGGAGTTTGTGGTAAGCGTTCCCCAGGCCGTGGGCATCCAGGAATGGATATGGCATCCAGCCCAGCTACATGCAGGTGTTTCCCAAATGCACACATTCTCGGAATGAATGCTCACAGTGTATACTTGATTTCAGGCCTTAGAAAAGGCAAAAGACGCAGGAAGAAAAGAGAGAGTGTTGGTGAGACAACGTGAGCAGGTGACAACTCCAGAAAACATCAATCTGGATTTAACTTACTCAGTAAGTATGAAATACCTGTTGAGTAAAATTATTTTGGCTAGGATTTGTAGATTCCAGAAGTCTTTTATCTTCTATATTTCTTGTTTCCTTTTATTTTTAAAATTTTATTGAATCTTAGATGCTTAGAATTAGATTAATGATCATCTTTTTTTGAACAAGAGTTCATGAGACACGCTTGTCTTTGGTCTGTGAAGATCTTCTTTTGAACTTTATTTATTGATTGATTTGAAAAAGAGAGAGAAAAAATATTGATTTGTTGTTCCATTCAAAATATTGATTTATTTTTGTATCTATTGGTTGATTCTTGTATGTGCCCTGACTGGGGATCCAACCTGCAATTTTGGTGTATTGGGACCACACTCTAATCAACTGAGCTACCTGGCCAGGGCAAAGATCATTTTTTTATTTAGTTTTTTGATTAGTTGTTTTTAATAACTTAGTAAGTGCTCACCAGCCAGTGACTGTTTCTTGAAGACTGCTGATATTTATGCTCTGTTCAGTGTGGTTTCTTTAATGAGATTCTGATGTGACTTTTTGGCCTGTGAATTTCAAGAACTTCAGATGAGGCAAATAAGACAATGTTCTGTGAAGGTAGTAAAAAACAAAACAAAACTAATTTCTAGTAAAATTTCTTTAATTCTGAAAAGACAGTGCCTTGATAGGGCTGTTTAAAAGGGTATATTTTTAGTGGGAAAAGTCGTCGTATGTCAAACACATGGAAAAAAAGTACATTTGAAACTGATTAAGAATTTTTAGATGTTTACTATTTATAGATAATATTTTTTAATTCCATGATCAATTTATAATGATCATTTTTTTCCTATCTTCTAGGGAGATAATTTACAGTAACTTAATAACAAATTATAATTTTGCATGTAGAGAATCACTATTCAAATAAAGGTTTAAGATATTCCTAAATGAAGTTTAATTTATTTTTATGAAAAAAATTTGGTTCACTATTTTGCTTATTCCTTTTCTCACTAGCAACATTAAGAAGACACAGTTATTCTTTGTAGGTCTTCCTGAGATTAATGGATGGCAAATACTATGTAAAATAGAAAGAATACATAAAAAATTAATATGAAATTCAGAGATCAGCCTTACCTATATGAATGTTCTGGTTCATTTGGAATGCGAGATTTTCTGTCTCCTTCATTTCCTAATCGGTTGGATGTCTTGAGATGAGCAGCTAACTCTGTTATATGACTTTAATCTCTAAAAAGATTATGGGCAAAAGGGGCCTAAATGGTCATTATGTATCTTTTTGCAATATTTTCCTTCCTTAGGTTCTGTTCAACTTGGCCAGTCAGTATTCAGCTAATGAAATGTATGCTGAAGCACTAAACACATATCAAGTTATAGTGAAAAATAAGATGTTTATCAATGCAGGTAGGTGTTTATAGTCAGTTTGTCTAGTAAGTCTAGTTCTTTTGTAGTGTTCATTTATGTTTCCTCCCTGTACGGTTTCTTACAATGAAGTGACTTATGCTCTAAAACAAATTTGTATTTATATAGAGGTATCCTGCTTAAAAATACTATTAAAATCCACACAAATGCAAATGAGGAAATATAGTTGGTATGAGGTATATTACCTAATAATAAACAAAAAATGTGTTCTGTCATTACAAGTAGAATGAGCTATGGCAACCCCATCAAGTGTGCTTCCCCTTGTATAATTCATCCCCAAGAGTTTGTAGTTTATATCTAGCATGTACATTGTGTAAACTTTGGTAGCAGTATTAAAGTTTATTAATATCATTTTCTTGAATATGATATTAAAATGTGTGTAGCATTATTGGGTCTAATTTTAAAGTCCCATATTTTTCTTAGAAGAACACAACTCCAATTTTCTAATGTAAACCAGTTGTTTTCTAGTTGTATTTTTTAGGAATCCAACTGTCTTAAGTTCCATTTCCTTACATAATTAGTGTGTGGATACATGAAAATAGTATGACTATTTTTCAAGGGAGAATTTTAGATAATGCCTGAACCTTTATAACTTGATAACATCTTCAAAGAATATGAATTAATGTTATCTAAAATATCATAAAAAATGAAAAACATAGATATTATATATTCCTTTTTTTTAATTAGGAAGATTGAAAGTGAATATGGGAAATATTTATTTAAAGCAAAGAAATTATTCCAAAGCCATTAAATTCTACCGAATGGCATTAGATCAAATTCCAAGTGTCCATAAAGAAATGAGGTGAGTTTACATAATGATAACTTTGTAAAATTGTGTTATTTTCAGAAACAAGATAACTCTTCTGACCTGTTGTCAGTAGGTTGAACGTTTTGAGGTGTTTGTACAGGAGAGGTATTAGATTCATGTGATGTCTGTTCTTGCACACATTTGTATAAGGACAAGTAAAAGGCATAATATGTGATCAATTGAAATTAAACTAAACTACTTGGCCTATATAGGGGGTAATCACCAAATGCAGCTAACTGCCAACACAAAATCAAAACTTAGTCCTTTAGGACATACCAGACTAGAGTGCAAGGCTAGAAATTCAGACCCCCCTGACATTCATGCTATAGATTGAGAGTGAAATCATGGGAGGAAGGGATTGCTTCTGAATCTGAGAAGACAGGGTTAGAGAGGGAAAATTGGGATACTTTCTAATCCTACAATATTTCAAGAACAGACATAGTAAATTACCTTATGGTCTGGTAATAAATGTAGGAACATAGGTTTCCAGGATATTTACTGGTCATAATTTCTCCTAGTCCCAGTACACTCCCTCTGTGAAACTTAATTATTTGTAAATGCCACCTTCCGTGATAATTTGTTTTTAATTGTGCACAATATCTTATCATCATCAGTAAATATCTGGCTTATAAAACAGTGCCCTTGAAGTACTTTTAACCCAGGTGATGCCAAGAATTTGACCTTTTTAGAAGATGTATTTAGATAAAATATTAGATAGAATATATTAAGTACTTACTAATCAGGAATCAAGAGGTGCTGTAGTGCCCTAGCTAGTGTGCTCTGTGGTTAGAGCATCGGCCCAAGCACCAAAGGATCACCAGTTCCATTCCCAGTCAAGGGCATATACCTGGGTTGCAGGTTGCATCTCCAGCTTCAGTCAAGCCTGTGCAGGAGGCAATTAATCAGTGTTTCTCCCTCACATCAATGTTTCTCTCTTTTTCTCCCTCCCTCATTTTCTCCCTCCTTCTTTTCTACTCTCTTCAAATTAACAACAACAAAAAAGAGGTGATATAGTAATTAAGTTGAGGGAATAATTATTGAGAACAAGAATAGTCAGTAAAAGCATTATGAAGGAGGTGTAGTTGAGATAGGCGACTTAAGTGAAGAGGAAAAAAGGGGAAACATTCCAGACAAAAGGAACAACATAAGAAGAGTCAGGCAAATCAGTGTTCATGATCTGGTCAGAGAATTATGAATGAATGAATGTAGTTGAAACAGAGGGATTATGTTGAAAAGTAGTTAGAAATAAGATGAGATCATGGCCTTTAAAATGTCTATAATCAAAAGACAGGCAATAATATTGTTGAAGAGATGTGGAGAAATCGGAAACCATACATTGGTGATCTAAAATGGTATAGCCACTTTGGAATATAATTAGGCAATATCTTAAAAAGTTAAACATGGGTTTACTGTATGACCAGTGGTACTGTATATACCACTCTTAGGTACATACCCAAGAAAGTGAAAACATGTCACATATGATCCTATGTGAATGTTCATACATCATCATTCATAATTACCAAAAGAGGAACAATCAATGTCCATCAAGTAGGCTATGGATGAATGAAACGTGGTGTATTCGTACTATGGAATACTATTTGACAATATAAAAGGAATGAAGTGCTGACACATGCTATAGTATCAGGAACCTTTAAAATATTCTGCTGATAATCAAAAAACTTCAACAAACAAAAGCCCTGGACAAGACAGTTTCACAGGGGAGTTTTATCAAACATTCAAAGAAGAAATAAAACCTATCTTCCTCAGACTATTCCAAAAAATTCAAGAGGAGGGAGCACTTCCAAGCTCTTTCTACGAAGCCAGCATTACCCTAATCCCAAAACCAGATAACAAAGAAATAGAATTAGAGTCCAATATCCCTCATGAACATAGACACCAAAATCCTCAACAAAATTCTAGCAAGTTGAATCCAGCATTACATTAGAAAGATCATACACCATGACCAAGTGGAATTGATTCCAGAGATGCAAGGATGGTACAATATCCGCAAATCAATAAATGTGATACATCACATAAACAAAGTGAGAGATAAAAACCATATAATCATATCCATTGATGCAGAAGAAGCATTTGACAAAATCTAACAACCTTTCTTGATAAAAACTCTCAGCAACGTGGGAATAGAAGGATCATACCTCAACATAATAAAAGCCATATATGACAAACCCACAGCCAACATCATACTCAATTGGCAAAAACTAACACCATTTCCCCTAAAAACAGGAACAAGACAGGGATGCCCACTCTCACCACTCCTGTTCAACATAGTACTGGAAGTATTAGCCATTGCAATTAGACAAGAAGAAGAAATAAAAGGCATCCAAATTGGAAAAGAGGAAGTAAAACTGTCCTTATTTGCAGACGACATGATATTATACATACAAAACCCTAGAGACTCCATCAAAAAACTACTAGACTTAATACATGAATTTGGCAAAGTAGCAGGATACAAAATTAATGCCAAGAAATCTGAGGCATTTCTATACACCAATAGTGAACTTTCAGAAAGAGAGATTATAAAAACAATCCCATTTACCATCGCACCAAAAAAATTAAGCTACCTAGGAATAAACTTAACTAAAGAGGTAAAAGACCTCTACTCAGAAAACTACAGGACGTTGAAAAAAGAGATAGAGGAAGACATAAAGAGATGGAAGAACATACCATGTTCTTGGATTGGTAGAATCAACATCATTAAAATGTCCATACTACCCAAAGCAATCTATAAATTCAACGCACTTCCCATTAAAATACCAACGGCATATTTCACAGACCTAGAACGAACTCTCCAAAAATTCATCTGGAACAAAAAACGACCCCGAATAGCTGCAGCGATCCTGAGAAAGAAGAAAGTAGGTGGGATCTCAATACCAGATATCAAGCTGTATTACAAAGCCACTGTTCTCAAAACTGCCTGGTACTGGCACAAGAACAGACATATAGATCAATGGAATAGAATAGAGAGCCCAGAAATCAGCCCCAACCAATACGCTCAATTAATATTTGACAAAGGAGGCAAGAACATACAATGGAGCCAAGATAGTCTCTTCAATAAATGGTGTTGGGAAAATTGGACAGATATATGCAAGAAAATGAAACTAGACCACCAACTTACACCATACACAAGAATAAACTCAAAATGGATAAAGGACTTAAATGTACGACAGGAAACCATAAAAATTCTAGAAGAATCCAAAGGCAACAAAATCTCAGACATATGCCAAAGCAATTTCTTCACTGATACAGCTCCTAGGGCAGTTGAAACTAAAGAGAAAATGAACAAATGGGACTACATCAAAATAAAAAGCTTCTGCACAGCAAAAGAAACCATCAACAAAACAACAAGAAAACCCACTGCGTGGGAAAACATATTTGCCAACGTCATATCTGATAAGGGCCTAATCTCCAAAATTTATAGGGAACTCATACAACTTAACAAAAAGAAGATAAACAATCCAATCAAAAAATGGGCAAAGGATCTAAATAGACACCTTTCAAAAGAGGACATTCAGAAAGCCAAGAGACATATGAAAACATGCTCAAAGTCACTAATCATCCGAGAGATGCAAATCAAAACAACAATGAGGTACCATCTCACACCTGTCAGAATGGCTATCATCAACAAATCAACAAACGACAAGTGCTGGAGAGGATGTGGAGAAAAAGGAACACTTGTGCACTGCTGGTGGGAATGCAGACTGGTGCAGCCACTATGGAAGACAGTATGGAGTTTCCTCAAAAAACTGGAAATGGAACTCCCATTTGACCCTGTGATCCCACTTCTAGGAATATATCCCAAGAAACCAGAAACACCAATCAGAAAGGATATATGCACCCATATGTTCATAGCAGCACAATTCACCATAGCTAAGATCTGGAAACAGCCTAAGTGCCCATCAGTAGATGAATGGATTAGAAAACTGTGGTACATCTACACGATGGAATACTATGCTGCTGTAAAAAAGAAGGAACTCTTACCATTTGCAACAGCATGGATGGAACTGGAGAGCATTATGCTAAGTGAAATAAGCCAGTCAATGAAGGAAAAATACCACATGATCTCACACATTCATGGATAATAGAGACCATTATAAACTTTTGAACAATAATAGATACAGAGGCGCTGCTGCTGTAAAAAAAAAGGAATTCTTACCATTTGCAACAGCATGGATGGAACTGGAGAGCATTATGCTAAGTGAAATAAGCTCAGTGAAAGTACAGCGGGAAGGCAGGGGAGGGTTGGGGGGATAAGAGATCAACCAAAGGACTTGTATGCATGCATATAAGCACAACCAACAGACGCAAGACACTTGGTGGGGGCGGGGGCGGGTGAGGGCAATTGTCAGGGAATAGGAGGGGCCAGGGAGGAAGTCAATGGGGGGGAAAAAAGGAGACATAGGCACTACTATTTGTAATACCTTAAACAATAAAATAAAATTTAAAAAAAGATTCTGCTGATTGAGAGACATCAACACAAAAATGTCACATTTGTATGAGTCCATTTATATGCAGCATCTAGAAAAGGCAAATCCAGAGAAAAAGGAAGGAGGATAGGGCCCTGGCTGGGTAGCTCAGTTGGTTGACACATACATGAATTAAACAATGAATGCATAAATAAGTGAAACAATAAACTTATGTTTCTCTCTCTCTCTCTCTCTCTCTCTCTCTCCTCTCATAAAAGAAAGGAGGTTAGTATTGTCCAGGGCTGGAGGTGATAATGGGAGTGACAGCTGATGGCCACAGGTTTTCTTTCTAGGGTGATGGAAATTACTTAAGAGCATGGTTGTAGTTCCACAACTGTATGAATATAGTAGTTGTCATTGAAGCAAATACTGAAAACAAATAAATTTTATGATATGAGCCCAGTAGAGCTTTAGGAAAACAAAGCAAAATACTCAAGTAGAATAGAAATGAAGGGAACTATCTGTGGAGTGTCTGACTACTGTACTGAGGAGTTCAGATTTAAAGCTGATCCTTGTTTATTTCTCTTTAGGATTAAAATTATGCAGAACATTGGAGTTACATTTATTAAAACTGGCCAGTACTCTGATGCCATTAATTCGTTTGAGCACATAATGAGCATGGCACCAAACCTGAAGGCTGGCTTCAACCTCATTCTCAGTTACTTTGCTGTTGGAGATCGAGAGAAAATGAAGAAGGCTTTCCAAAAACTGATTGCTGTTCCATTAGAAATTGATGAAGATGATAAATACATTTCACCAAGTGTGAGTATGAGGAAGACTGGTAGCCAGCTCTTAGTATCCATGCTTTTCTTTTTCCAGAAATGAAAAAGTTGGAGTGGATGACTTCTTAGGTTTCTCCCAGCCCTGTATTAATGTATTTTTTTTTAAATATATGTTATTGAGTTTTTACAGAGAGGAAGGGAGAGGGAAAGGGATAGAGAGTTAGAAACATCGATGAGAGAGAAACATCGATTCAGCTGCCTCCTGCACATCTCCTACTGGGGATGTGCCCGCAACCCAGGTACATGCCCTTGACTGGAATCGAACCTGGGACCCTTCAGTCTGCAGGCTGACGCTCTATCCCAGGGGTGGGCAAACTTTTTGACTCGAGGGCCACAATGGGTTCTTAAACTGGACCGGAGGGCCGGAACAAAAGCATGGATGGAGTGTTTGTGTGAACTAATATAAATTCAAAGTAAACATCATTACATAAAAGGATACGATCTTTTTTTTTTTTTTTAGTTTTATTCATTTCAAACGGGCCGGATCTGGCCCGCGGGCTGTAGTTTGCCCACGGCTGCTCTATCCACTGAGCCAAACTGGTTTCGGCAATGTATTTTAATTAAGTAAGTTTAATTAATGCATTTTCATTTATTATTTAAATTAGTTTGAGAACGGGACTCCATTGAAATAGGGGTAGAAAGTATGGTTAAAACAGACTGCAGTTTCAGTCAGAAAAAAACAACAATATTAGGAAAAACAAGATTATGTGCCAGGAACCTGTAATACTCTCAAGAGTGAAAATAAATTTTTTTTTTTTAAAAAAAGAGCAATAGCCCTGGCCAGTGTTGGTCGGCAGTTAGAGTATTGGCCCACACACCTACCAGTCGCAGGTTCGATTCCCAGTCAAGAGCATGTACCTGGGTTCCAGATTCGATCCCCAGCCCTGGTCGGGGCATTGTGGGAGGCAGCCAATCAATGTGTCTCTCTCACATCAGTGTTTCTCTCTCTCCCTCCCCCTCTTCCTTCCACACTCTCTAAAAATCATGTAAAAAATATCCTTGAGTGAGGATTAACCAAAAAGAAAGGAAGGAAGGAAGGAAGGAAGGAAGGAAGGAAGGAAGGAAGGAAGGAAGGAAGAAAGGGAGTAATATAAAGCCTTTTAATTGTTTAGTTGAGCAGAGGGAACTTAAATCATATGTACTAAATACATCAAGAATAAAAATAAGTAATTAATCATCCTTACTCATAGAATTCAGCATAATACAAAAGTCATATTTTCAAAGACCTGAGCAGATACTATATAAAGTGAAAAAAAAAACAACCAAGTGAAAAATACTGATATACACTCATACTTAAACATAACCTGGAAGGAAGAATACCAAAATAGACACTGTATTTTCTGGAATAAGATTCTTTTTCTTTTTTTGTTATTAATATTCATATTCTTTTTATTTTTTTAAAATCTTTATAGTTGTCCCTCTTTTTTTCTCCTTTTGCCCCCTCTACCCAATTCCCACCCCACCCCAGGCCTTCACCACTCTATTGTCTGTGTCCATAGTTAATGCATATCCTATATAATAAAAGGCTAATATGCAAATTGACCGAACAGTGAAACAACCAGTCGCTATAATGTGCACTGACCACCATGGGGCAGACACTCAACACAGGAGCTGCCCTCTGGTGGTCAGTGCGCTCCAAAGGGGGAGCGCCACTCAGCCAGAAGCCCTGAGCCAGGCTCATGGCTGGCGAGCGCAATGGCGGTGGTGGGAGCCTCTCCCACCTCCATGGCAGCACTAAGGATGTCCAGCAGATGGCTTAGGCCCGCAAGCAGGCCTAAGCTGTCAGTCGGACATCCCCTGAGGGCTCCCAGACTGCAAGAGGGCGCAGGCCAGGCTGAGGGACCGCCCCCCCAAGTTCATGAATTTCGTGCACCGGGCCTCTAGTATGCATATAACATCCTTTGTTAATCTCTTCCGCCCTTCCCTCTGATATTCGTCAGTCTATTCCGTGTTTCCATGCCTCTGATTCTATTTTATATCACCAGTTTATTTTATTCTATAGATTTCTTATTCATTTATTTTTAGATTCAGTTGTTGATAGATATGTATTTATTGCCATTTTATAGTTCATATTGTTTATCTTTTTCTTCTTCTATTGCTTCTTCCTCTTCTTAAAGAATACCCTTCAACATTTCATGTAATACTGGTTTGGTGGTGATGAACTCCTTTAGCTTTTTCTTGTCTGTGAAGCTCTCTGACCTTCAATTTTAAATGATAGTTTTGCTGGGTAAAGTAATCTTGGTTGTAGGTCCTTGCTGTTCATCACTTTGAATATTTCTTGCCACCCCCTTCTGGCCTGCAAAGTTTCTGTTGAGAAATTTGCTAACAGTCGTATGGGTACTCCCTTGTAGGTAATTAACTGCTTTTCTCTTGCTGCTTTTAAGATTCCCCCCTTGTCTTTAACCCTTGGCATTTTATTTTATTTTATTTTTTAAATGTATTTCTTTATTGATTTCAGAGAGGAAGGGAGAAGGAGAGTGATAGAATCATCAATGATGAGAGAGAATCATTGATCGGCTGCCTCCTGCATGCCCCCCACTGGGGATCAAGCCCGCAACCCAGGCATGTGCCCTTGGCCGGAATTGAACCTGGGACCCTTTAATCCCCAGGCTGACGCTCTACCCACTGAACCAAGCCGGCCAGGGCTAACCCTTGGCATTTTAATTATGATGTGTCTTGGTTGGGCCTCTTTGGATTCCTCTGGATTGGGGCTTTCTGTGCTTCCTGGACTTGTAAGTCTATTTCTCTCACCAGGTAGAGGAAGTTTTCTGTCATTATTTCTTCGAATACGTTTTCAATATCTTGTTCTCTCTCTTCTCCTTCTGGCATCCCTATAATGAGAATGTTGTTGTTATTGAAGTTGTCCCAGAGGTTACTTGCACTATCTTCATTTTATTCTTTTTTCTTTTTGCTCTTCTGATTGGGTGTTTTTTGCTTCCTCGAAATTTGCTAACAGTCGTATGGGTACTCCCTTGTAGGTAATTAACTGCTTTTCTCTTGCTGCTTTTAAGATTCCCCCCTTGTCTTTAACCCTTGGCATTTTATTTTATTTTATTTTTTAAATGTATTTCTTTATTGATTTCAGAGAGGAAGGGAGAAGGAGAGTGATAGAATCATCAATGATGAGAGAGAATCATTGATCGGCTGCCTCCTGCATGCCCCCCACTGGGGATCAAGCCCGCAACCCAGGCATGTGCCCTTGGCCGGAATTGAACCTGGGACCCTTTAATCCCCAGGCTGACGCTCTACCCACTGAACCAAGCCGGCCAGGGCTAACCCTTGGCATTTTAATTATGATGTGTCTTGGTTGGGCCTCTTTGGATTCCTCTGGATTGGGGCTTTCTGTGCTTCCTGGACTTGTAAGTCTATTTCTCTCACCAGGTAGAGGAAGTTTTCTGTCATTATTTCTTCGAATACGTTTTCAATATCTTGTTCTCTCTCTTCTCCTTCTGGCATCCCTATAATGAGAATGTTGTTGTTATTGAAGTTGTCCCAGAGGTTACTTGCACTATCTTCATTTTATTCTTTTTGCTCTTCTGATTGGGTGTTTTTTGCTTCCTCATATTCCAGATTGTTGATTTGATTCTCAGAATCCTCTACTCTACTGTTGAATCCCTGTAAATTATTCTTTATTTCAGTTAGTGTATGCTTAATTTCAGACTGGTCCTTTTTCATGTCTTTGAAATTCTCACTAAGATCCTTGACAGTCTCACTAAGTCCCTTGAAGCTCTCATGAAGATCCTTCAGTAACCTTATAACTGTGGTTTTAAATTCTGTATCCAATAGTTTACTTGCTTCCATTTCTTTCATTTGTGACATATTTCTTTGTCTCCCCATTTTGGCTGCTTCCCTGTGTCTGTTTCTATGTACTAGGTGTACCGGTTAATAATGCAGATTTTGGAGCCCCTGCGAACTCGAGTGCCAGGAGGGACCTGCAACCCAGGCCCTTGGCCAGCCTAGAGCCCGGAAGCCCACCAGGAACACAGGGTTTTGACCCGCGCCAGCCCCAGTCGACCCAGTGGAAGCAGTCTGGTTGAACTGAAGCCAAAGCAGGACCTTTGCACCAGTGAGGGTGAAGAAGCTGATTTTTTAACCAGCTCGTCCTTTTCTGCAGATTCAAGCAACAGCGGCCTCCTGATCACCACACGCTCTGTCTGGGGAACAGTTACTGTGTGTGAAGCCTCCCTCCACCAGCCAGAAGAGCCACCACAGCTGTGAACAGCACCCACCAGAGGCCCTGCTATCAACGGAGGAGCCACTGCTACCACAACCGCCCAAGGAGCAACCACAGCCCGAGGAGCCACTGCCACCCAGGGAGCAGCCACTGAACGACTCAACAACTAGATATGTCAGTGAGATCAAACATGGGTAGACAAAGAAACCCCCAAAGGAAAGAGAAGGAGGACTCGCCAGAAAAGCAGCTAAGTGAGACAGAGGCATGCAACATGACGGAAAAAGAATTCAGAATAAGGGTCCTAGAGTACATGCACCGGTCGGAGGAAAAAATCAATACCATATGCAAGAAGCTAGAAGAAACAGATGAAAAAATCAACAACTTAAGTAAGGCCCAAGAAGAAATGAAGAGTGATATAGCTGCCATAAAAAACTCCATTGAAAGTATCAACAGTAGACTAGGAGAAGCGGAGGACCGAATTAGTGAATTAGAAGACAAGGAAGCAAAACACACCCAAACTATACTGCAAATGGAGAAAAAAATTAAAAGACAGGAGGAGAGCCTAAGGGAGCTTTGGGACAACATGAAACGAAACAACATACGAATAATAGGGGTGCCAGAACAACAGAAAGATGAACATGGATTAGAAAACCTATTCGAAGAAATAATATCAGAAAACTTCCCTGAGGTGGGGAAGAAAAAAGTCACACAAGCCCAGAGAGTCCCAAACAAGGTGAATCCGAAAAGACCCACACCAAGACACATCATAATTACCATGGCAAATGTTCAGGACAAAGAGAGAATCTTACAGGCTGCAAGAGAGAGACGGAAAGTTACATACAAGGGATCTCCCATTAGATTATCAAATGATTTCTCAACAGAAACACATCAGGCCAGAAAAGAATGGACAGAAATCTACAAAGTGATGCAAAGCAAAGGACTGAATCCAAGAATACTCTATCCAGCAAGGCTTTCATTCAAAATTGAAGGGGAAATAAGAAGCTTCACAGACAAAAAAAGGCTAAGGGAGTTTATCACCACCAAGCCAGCCATGCAAGAAATGCTAAAGGGACTGGTGTAAAAAGAAGAAATAACAAGCTCAGAAAGAAAACAGCCACACACACAAAAAAAGAAATGGCTACAAACAAGTACCTTTCAATAATAACTTTAAATGTAAACGGACTAAATGCTCCAACCAAAAGACATCGAGTGGCTGAATGGATAAAAAAACATGACCCATACATCTGCTGTCTACAAGAGACCCACCTCATTAGAAGGGACTCACACAGACTGAAAGTGAAGGGATGGAAAAATATCTTTCACGCAAATGGAAAGGAAAAGAAAGCTGGGGTAGCAATACTTATATCGGACAAAATACATCTCAAAGTGAAGGCCATAACCAGAGATAAGGAAGGCCACTTCATAATACTAAAGGGATCAATACAACAAGAAGATATAACCCTGGTAAACATATATGCACCCAATGCAGGAGCACCCAAATTCATAAAAAAACTCCTGGAAGATATCAAAGGAGAGATCGACAACAATACAATCATAGTAGGGGACTTTAATACACCACTGACACCACTGGATAAGCCCGCTAGACAAACAATCAGCAAAGAAACAGCAATCCTAAATGACTCACTAGATCAGATGGACTTAATTGACATCTTCAGAACACTTCACCCCAAAGCCATGGAATATACATTCCTCTCAGGTGCTCATGGGACATATTCAAAAATAGACCACATATTGGGTCACAAACAAAGTCTCCCCAAATTCAAGAAGATTGAAATCATAAAAAGCTTCTTCTCAGACCACGATGGCATAATGTTAGAAATAAACTACAATAAAAACAACCCAAAATACTCAAACACTTGGAAGCTGAATAGCATGTTATTAAATATTGATTGGGTTACCAATGAGATCAAAGAAGAAATTAAAAACATCCTGGAAACTAATGACAATGAAAACACAACAATCCAAAACCTTTGGGACACAATGAAAGCAGTCCTGAGAGGGAAGTTTATAGCTCTACAGGCCTACCTCAACAAACAAGAAAAAATGGTAGTAAATCATCTAAATCTACAGCTCAAAGAATTAGAAAGAGAGCAACAAGAAAACCCCAGAGTGAGCAGAAGGAAGGAGATAATAAAGATTAGAGCAGAAATAAATGACATAGAGACCAAAAAAACAATACAGAAAATCAATGAAACCAAGAGCTGGTTCTTTGAAAGGATAAACAAGATTGACAAACCTCTAGCCAGGCTCACCAAGAAGCAAAGAGAGAGGACCCAAATAAACAACATCAGAAATGATAGAGGCGAAATAACAACAGACCCCACAGAAATACAAATGATTGTTAAAAAATACTATGGACAGCTCTACTCCAACAAACTAGACAACCTGGAGGAAATGGACAAATTCCTAGAAAAATACAACATTCCAAAACTTAATCAGGAAGAATCTAAAAATCTCAATAGGCCAATAACTATGGAAGAAATTGAAGCAGTCATCAGAAAGCTTCCAGCAAACAAAAGCCCAGGACCAGATGGCTTCTCAGGGGAGTTTTACCAAACTTTCAAGGAAGAACTAAAACCTATCCTCCTCAGACTACTACAAAAAATTCAGGAGGAAGGAACACTTCCAAGCTCATTCTATGAAGCCAGCATCACCCTAATACCAAAACCAGGTAAAGACAACACAATGAAAGAGAATTACAGGCCAATATCCCTCATGAACATAGATGCCAAAATCCTCAACAAAATCTTAGCAAATCGGATCCAGCAGTACATCAGAAGGATCATACACCATGACCAAGTAGGATTTATCCCAGGAATGCAAGGATGGTACAACATCCGTAAATCAATAAACGTGATACATTACATAAACAAATTGAAAGAAAAAAACCACATAGTCATATCAATTGATGCAGAAAATTGGCTGAAGTTCCTGCTGACTCCTGCGGAAGCGGCGGGCGGCCTACTACACGCAATATTGCACTATGGGCTACTAGTGTAATTATAATAACCTACCTTACACTGTTGTGAGGGTTAAATGAGGTTATGCATGTGAAATGCTTAAAATAATACCTGGACTGTAGGAAGTTTGGGGTAAATGTTAACTATTATATATTACTTTCATATTGAGAAAAAATATTATATGTTGTGAAAAATCATCAGTTTTTAAAGAGGGAGTAGATATATGGCTTTTATTAAGTAATTGATGATCATTAAAGCATTTGTATTTGAGTTTGGCTAATGGGGAGCATAAGTAGACAGAAGGGAGAAATGAGTACCATCAGATATGTGTTCCTCTGGCTGCCTCCCTCTAATATTGGTTTAGGTTGGCTGTACTTCAACTAAAGTTTGCATCATCCTTCCAGATGGCTTTCTATACAAGACATTCACATTTCAGGTTCTAGCATCCACTTGCTCTACTTGGCCTTAATAATTGTGAGTCTATTTGAATTATCTATTTCATATTAGTGAATTGTAATAGTGTGTAATTATTAAACTGTTGGTCCAGTTGATCTAAGCTGTCAAATTTCTATGCATTATCATCATACAATGTCCCAATCTGGCTTTGGTTATTTTCTTTGCTCTAAAGTCTACTTTGTTTGAAATTATGTAGCCACTATAACATTTTAAGATTGTTTTCATGATATATATGTTTCATACTTTTGCTTTCAGCCTGCCTATGTTGTTTTATTTGAAACTAGAGGCCCGGTGCATGAGATTCGTGCACTTGGGGGCGTGGGGGACCTCAGCCCAGCCTGTGCCCTCTCGCAGTCCAGGACCCCTCGGGGGATGTCTGCCTGCCGGTTTAGACCTGATCCTGAGGCCGGCAGTCAGACATCCCTCTTGCAATCCGGGACCCCTCACTCCTTACCGCCCGCCTGCAGCAGAGACTGGAGAGGCTCCCACCACTGCCACTGCGCTTGCCAGCCATGAGCCCGGCTTCTGGCTGAGAGGCGCTCCTCCTGTGGGAATGCACTGACCACCAGGGGGCAGCTCCTGCATTGAGCGTCTGCCCCCTGGTGGTCAGTGCACATCATAGCAGCTGTTCGGTTGATTTGCATATTAGGGTTTTATTATATAGGATAAGTATTTTATACTTAGTAAATGGTTGTTTTCATTCACTTTGGCAATCTCTGTCTTATAATTGGTACAGTTTGACCATATATTTTAATCTAATTATTGCTATATTAGAGGTTAAGTGTGTAATTTTAATTTTTGTTTTATTACTTATTTTTGTTTGTTTCTGTTTTATTTTCCTGCTTATAGCAGGAGTTTTTTGGAATTCCATTTTTATTATTTTTTAATGTTTTTGAGTGTATCACTTCATATAGCATTTTTAGGATTACTCTAGGTATTACATTTGTATATATATTATTAAAGTCTACTGGTGTCATCATTTTACCAGTTCTAATAAAGTATCAAAATCTTGAAAAAGAATCCTCTGGTGAGGATTAACAAACAAAACACAAACAGAATTGACGATATTACACAGCTTCTGTGTACTAGGTCCTTTTCTGTCTAGCCTGACTTTTTTATCAGCTGCCCAGAATCTGTTAGTTCACTAGAGAATGTGACAGGTAATCAGAAATAAGAAAAAAAAACCTTCTACTTTACATAAGGGAAAGTGGTGTAGAAAGATTAATTTTCTGTTCATTTTCTACAACTAGTTAGTGATAAGGTTGAAATCCAAGTTCTTGATTTTTATTCGTGACTTGTTCTTTTTTCCCCCCAATTTTATTTCCCAGGATGATCCACATACTAACTTAGTGATTGAAGCTATAAAAAATGATCATCTAAGGCAAATGGAACGTGAAAGGTAATATTTGGGGCACTAAATAATTAAAACTTGATAATATTGGTTAAATTTATATAAAAGAGTTAAATGTGCATATGATTATTTCTTTGAAAACTTGTTATATGCACTATATTTCTTGAATAGTCTTACTGTTTCATCATTTCTATACTCTACTGGATTCTCTTTTTTCCTTCACAATAATCACATTACTCATTTGATTCCAGTTATTCTTCCTCAGTTACTCTTATTTCCTTGTAGCTTACTTTCCCTCTGTATTTGGTGCAACATTGGAATTTTGTTTACGTTACCTTTATTTTTAAAAAATTATATCTTTATGTGTTTTTGTCCAGCCTCCCAATTAAATTTCAACTCCCAAAGACAAAATTATTTCTATTTTATTCCTTCCTTCAGTCTGGTACCTAGTCTCTGCAAAGTATGTTTTGAAACTTCTAATACTTATTGAATATTCAACCTGTATATTAGCAGTATATCACATGATATACAGGGCCCTTAGTTGTTTTTTAATTGTGGTACAATACACATAACATAGAGTTTACCATCTTAACTATGGTGCATAATTCTTCATGGTTCTGTAGTATTAATTAAGTACATTCACAATGATTTGTAACAAGAACTTCCCCCAAATTCCTAAACTACAACTCTGTACCCATGAACAACTCTCCAGCATCCCCTTCCCAGTTCCTAGCACCCACCTTTCTACTTTTTGGTCTATGAATTTTGTCTGCTCTAGGAACCTTATATAGGTGAAACCACATTATTTGTCCTTTTGTGACTGTCTTATTTCACTTAGCATAGTGCCCTCAAGGTTCATCCATGTTGTAACAAGTGTCAGAATTTCCTTCCTTTTTAAGTCTGTACAATATTTCATTATATGTATGGAGGGCCCTTAATCTTTAGGAAGTAGTTTAACTTTTAAAATAAAACAGAGACTTGTACTTCTGGAGAGATAAGAATAGATGCACTTTCCCCTGTTCTTCTCACTAAGTCCAAATAACAACCCTGGAAATTACATGTAAAAAAAAAAAAT